CCGGACTGAGCCCCCAGAGGTCCAAATGAGGAGCAGAAGGAGGAAGAACATGAAAAACGAAATCAGTACTGCGAGGGATGCTATCACCCACTGATACAAGGGAACGGATCTGATGAGAGTTTACCAAGGCCAGTTGGACTGGGACTGAAAGAGGACGTGATCTAACCAGACTCTCCGAATTTGGCCGGATTCTCTGACTGTGGCTGACCCGAAGTCTTTCTGAAAAGCCATTGACTATGACACTGGGACCTGTTTCCTCTACATATAATGGATTTTGGGGATCCAGTCTGTTTGGACACTCACCTTCCTGGACCTGGAGGGAGGGGGAAGGAACTGGAACTTCCCACAGGGCAGGAAACCCTGACTGCCCTGGGGGACGAAGAGGGAGGAGGAGGGGGAGTAGGGGGAGTGGGAGGGTGTTGGGAGGGGGGGTGGAAATGGAAACTTTTATAATTTAATAAAATTTACTAAAAAAAAAAAAGAAATATCCATCTGACGTATCTGACCTATTGTAGAATGTTTGAGTTCATCATCTGAAAATTTGTGCTCCCTTTTAAGTGGAGTCACTTTGCTTTGAGTTTCACTTTTATTGATTCCTGAGTGGTTATTGGCATGTCTGTTGATCGGAATGCCTCTTCTATATTTTGAAGAATTCTGTTCTTATAGATCAGTTTACTCTTCAGCTTCAAATTCCCAATACCACTCAGCAATGAGAAAACATGGTGTTCAGAGGACTCACTCCATCATGGTGGAGAAGAAATGGCAGGAGGAAGATGGATGGCTGGATACACAGTCTTCACAGTCAGGAGGCAAAGTGCTATTGCTAAACTTGTATACATGCTATTTTTAGAGAATTGGTTAATTGTCATTATTAATAATGAGTTATTTCAATCTCTGTATTACTATCTCCTAGGACTTTTTTTCATATTGTTTCATCATTTTTCTTATGCTTGCATGTACACTTCCCTCAAAGAATTCTTTCCACTGTTATTTCTGCAATACTCCTTTACTAAAGTTTAATCATTGATATACCAAACAGTTTTTTCATGCAGTTATGTTAGAAAAAACTGATTACTGAGAAAGATGTAACTTGGCAACAATGGGAGCGAGCAGTAAAATTGCCCAAGAGCAGTTAATGATTTCACCTTTGGCATAATCTGTTCCTGACAATGTTCCCCTTCTGATCTCATGGTATGATGGTAGACATGAGAACTGATATCAAATGAATTCATTATTTATTTGCTTTAGAACAAGGAGCTCAAGTCATACTTGAAAGAGTGTACTTTGTCCTGAACATCACACAATGGAAGAGTTTTTCTCAGCTAAACAAATTGATGCATCTTAATAGTTGAATATGTCTTTGTGTATGAGAGAGAGGTTGTGATTTTCAATTTAAATATTTTTTCTAGTGAAAAGTTTTTTAAAAATATAGTAATAATGAAGTAATTTTTAAAAATTAATTTTTAATATTTTTCAGTCATGAAGCAATTTTATAGAGAACACCCATACATATGGCCTGGAACATTATGCAATTATTTTTAAATTATTTTATATGTGTTTAAGATATGAGAAGTTTCATATGCATATGTATAGAAAAATAAAACTAGATTGAAAGATTACACATGAGTCACTCCATGTGTAAATGCATGTATCTCTTAGCTAATTTTCAGTTTCAATACAAAGTTATCATCACAGTCTATGTGAATATTAAATTCTTAGGATTTAACTCATTGTCCATAAGCAAAATCTGAACCTTTGATTTCTTTCCTCAACTTTTTTCTCCTTCTTGACTTTAGTAAGTCACTTTCTACTCACTGTTGATATTTGCTTGACTTTTCCTAAGAGTCCATTTGAATATTTCCTTTCATCTGTGGCTTAAATTAAATCACAGACAACAGTACCTATGCATGTCATAGTGAAGACTGTTAAATGTTTATCTTCTTAACATAAAAACCATGAAATTGATAAATGTATACAACCCTATAACCCACATTTTGGTTGCAAATACTTGACTACCTTTTCTTTATAAGAACTATAACTTCTTGTGCTGTTTGTTTTTATTTATTTTCTTTACATTCTCAAAAATAGTTTAGAACCAGATAGTAAATGTTTTTTTTCTCCCTACTTCTAGATCCAGCACATGAAATGTTCCATAGGATACACGATAGAGCTAAGATACAGGTTAGAGACTTGTGTGAGGGAAGAAGTACAGCAGAAGATGACGTGAGAAATGTTCCAGGAAGGACAGGGTCATGGATGAAAGGAGTCTTCAGTGTGAGGTTAATAGAGATGGACCTGTAACAGCTGGAGAGGAAGGTTCCAATGAGAGACAGATGTGGATGTTCCTTAGAAACAGCGTTCCATAGAAGCTCTATGATTGTGTTAGCAAACATCACAAAGTGTTCGTGTGTTAGGTATAGCTAAATTATATTACTGAGCAAAGAAAAAATCAGCTTACAGGCCACAAACCCAGAGAAATTAGAGAACAAAGAGGACCCTAAGAGAGACACACATGGATCTACATAGGAAGGTGAAAAAAACAAAGTCTCCTGAGTAAATTGGGAGCATGGAAGTCACGGGGAAGGGTAGAAGGGGAGAGGGGAGGAAGGGAAGGTATGGAAGAGAAATGTATAGCTCAATAAAAACAATAAAAAGGAGTCAAGATTCACATTGTGTTGCATTGGCTGAAGGCCCACCCTCTCACCACTGTGTTCCAATTACAATTTATATAGCTATTTTTGTGTAACAAGTGGATGATCTCAAGACACAGAAGCATATACCTATATGCTTTTCCTTGCATAATCTAAATGATATCTTAGATCTTTATCTAGTCACTCATAACACTCGTGTCTGGCTAGATTTAATTTGATTATACTCATGAAAAGTAACATCTACATGTCTCAAATATATTTGAGATTTTAAATGCACTTGTAAATTTATTAATCGAGCTGGAGAACAAACACAGGACTTGTTCATTCCGGGCTAGTGCTCTACCACTGAGCTAAATCTCCTGATACAAGTCAGACATATGATCTTAAAATTCATAATTCAAAACATATCTTGTTCATTAATGTCAAAGCCAAAGTCTAAACAATAACCACTGTTAGAGTCTGCACTTTCCAGTGGATACCCACACCCGATTCAGGCTGCACGCTTTCCCGAACTCGGGCCCACGAGAATGGACGATTATCCTGAGGGTTAAAAAAGAGACACACACAAAAGAGACCTTTGCTCATTTACCAGAGTAAATGGCCCCTTTATTAAACTCAAGTCAGGTATTTATACCAGTGGGCAACCAGGATCAAAAAGGCAAGGCCTCCTCCCAACAAAAGCAGGAAGGAGAATAAAGGCCCCAGTAAAGGAAAACTCCTCCCACCCAGAGGGGGCTGGGGAACTGGCCTCTGTGGGAGTTTTTCCCCAGGCAGGTGGTCGAGGGTACAAGGCAATGTCAGACAGGTTAGATGGGCCTTGGTGCCTGAGCTTCTTTGAGGCAGGTTGAGAAATTACCATTTTAAAGTAAAATAGATCCCTCAGGCTAATGTACCAGGCTGTAGCAGAACCAAGGATGGAACTAGCAGGAAGCTTAGCTGGTTAGCGTAAACATTATTTGCATCCAGTATTTTGGTCTCAAGGATCAGGGAGGACAGGGTCCCACAAACCACCATGCCACACATTTTGGGAACATTGTTCTCCGCTGTGGTCATCTGTTGTTTGTCTACTCAACAAAATCTTGCTCAGCCCCATTGTCTCAACTAGAAAAAACTAGGCATGCATCAGCCTCAAGGACTGTGGCCTTGCTTCTCTTTTTGCTTTTCTTCAAGACATTTGCTTGGGCAATTCTAGAATCTCGAGGTCTTCCCAGGAAGAATGATTCTAACCACCAAACATAATGTTGCCATTGGTTACCACTCCTCCCTAAAAATATTTTTATCAATATTATTAGATGCTATTTACTATTTTTCCTGTAGCACATATTACATCTCATCTCACTATGTTTTATTTATCATATTTACTGCTTCTATTTTTACTTTATTTTTCCATTATTAAATGCATGTTCAATTAGTTATTGAAGAATTACTGGTTCTTATTACTTCCATTTAAATGTGTTTTCATCAGTACTCAGAATAGCATCTATTCCAAATTGGGCACCCAGGAAAAGGCTTTTAACAGAGAGACAGTCATTGCTTTGAAGTGAATCTTCATATGTGGTTAAGTGCAATTTTCCTCAGGAAGGCATTACTTATAAATATCACATTCTCATGCATTAAAGTATTCAAATGACTGGTTTCAAAGACTTCCATGCTGATTTCTAGGAATGAGATGAACTTGTACATTATGACTGTAGGTTTTCTTAGAATGGAGTAACTACGTAGAGTATGACTGGCTTATCAAAAGGATTCTTGTAATCTTTAGTTTTCTTCTAATTGGAATTGATTTCTTTTGGCTAATAACTAAATTTATGTAAGCCTTTGGATTTCTAATGATTTATACATTTTTCCCATTTTACAGTGAAGTTTACTTTTCATTAAGAAAATTTTCACATACTCTTTATTGAATAATCAACATTTGTTAAATATTCACTGTTCATCTTGAGCATTCTTAAACTTCTCATTCAGAGTGCCTCATGATGTTTTCAGGAGGCCAAATACTTTGTGGATTTCAGTGTTACACAGCCCAAATACATTATTTCAAAGATGGTTAAAAACAAACACCATAGATGATCCATATTTTGGTTTTATGTAAAGTATCTTTACTGATATTAAGAAACATCAATATCTTCTGATTAATATTTAAATAGCATATTGTGGAATAGCATTGATATTAGCTTTACTATTACAATGAAAATTCCAAATGTGGTAGAGGAGAGATATTCTCACAGGACTCTACTGTGACGGACAGTGTATTTTGATGAGAGAAGAAGATTTTGATTCAAATGATTGAGTCAAGCTCAGTATTGTCTGTTGTATCAGTTGTTATATTAAACCCAGACCAAAGGGTAATCAATTCTGCAGAATTTACTTTATTGACAAATTAAAGGAAACAGACATATTGACCTACACAAGACCCACACAGAGAAAAAGTTGTTTTATTTTTTTTTGAATTTATGGGATTTGCCAGAGAAAAGTAAAAGTAGAAATCAAAACAATAAAGGTGAGAGGATTGGCAAGCTGGCAAAACACCAGCTCACGGTCAGCATTTCCCATGATGCTTTAGGTTGATTTTCCCAGAACTTTTCCTATGGAAAAAAAATGACAAATATATGTTTAATGCAGTATCTTCATAGTTTGTCATGGTGCCCAGGGCAATTTTAATGGTACCACCTATCTGATTATTGGGTTTTGTTGGTATCTAACTGCTATTCAGCAGAAGTGAATTGAATCCATTCATCTAAGAGTGAAAAGAATGAATCTTAGACTAATCTCAGCTCTTAGTCTTGAACTTTCAATAGTCATTACTCATTGTTGAGGAGTGAAATGTAGACGGGAGGAGAAATATGCCAATCAGCCAAAATCATGGTTGTCTCGGCAGAATATTTAAGAAAAGGAGCAAAGCCTTGAAGCGTTTTGCATTTTATAGCAGACTATAGATGCAAGTTTTTATCAGGTGTTTGTCCTTCCATTCACGCAATCTCATCCTGTACCTCAAACTTCTGTGGAGATTTGTTATGAATTGCATAGACAGATTACACATTAATGTGCTGATTACATATTGAGATCAATATTGACATTTTAACCTATTTTTTTAAATAAGAAAAAAAATGGGGCTGGAAAAGATGGCTCAGTGTTTGCGAGAACATTGGCTGCTCTTGCAGGAGACCTGGGCTTCAGTCCTAGAACCCACATGGCAGCTTACAACCAACTGTAGCCCTTGTTCCAGGGAATCTGATGCCCTCTCTGGCCTTCCTGGGCATCAGGCATGTACATGGTGCACAGACATATATGCAGGTAAAGCACTCATATACATAAAACAAAAATGAATAAATATTTAAATAAAATAAAATAATGAAAAGTATAAGACTTATTAAAGGTAAATTGCTATATGCAATATGTATTACAAAGAAATTCCCAAATGCTTCATAGGTACAAAATAGTTAAAGTGCTTTGAAATATTTGTTTTATTCACTTTTGAGATATTTCTTTTCAATCCATTTTCTGAAGGTGTATTTTTTTTCAGTATCCATTGGAGATATGAATAATAACATGCTTGGATAGCTCAAAAATATTAATCTATCTTTGGAAGTTTATGCTCACAAGACAGGTGTGGTGAGAACAAGACTTACGCCAATGCCTTGCAGAAGGCACATTTATTTCCATATGTCTGACCATCAGAGCCACAGAGTGGGTCAGATTCCCGAGTACAGAAGACATTGGGGTTATGGAACTCACCACAATTAATCTACAATGGAAAAACAACATCAATAATAGCATGTCTAATAGATTAGGAACAGAAGCTTAACATAATGTATCCTGAGATAGATACTTAGGTAGAACATTTTGCTTCACTGAGACATTTTATTAAGCAATAGGAACACGAGAAACACATTATTTTACTTGAGTAAATTAATAAGGCCAAATGCTACAAGACTTTTTATTTCAACATTAAATTCATGTAGTTGAGAGTAGTTTTGGGTAATATATACCAATTCTTTAATAACAAGTCTTGTGTTAATGTATTCTAATAGTACTTCAGCATACTATGAAAACATGGATGATCCTTGCAGGACAGTTTCCAGACAGTACTTGAAGCTTCTTAGTTTTTTTCTGTGAATGTAATACCCCTTAATATTCTGAAAACAAGATTCTAATGCCTTTGTACTGACTTACTCAAAGAACATGTTTGTAGAATATGAGCTTTGCTGAGTACTATAGTAATTTATTAATGGTCCCCTAAACTTCTGTGTTTAGAAAGATCTCTAGGTTTCATTCAGACTTATGAACACATTTGTTATATCTAATTAAGAGCTGCTATCACAGAAATGCATGGTAGTATCTATGGTAATAACATCCTATCCATTACACTAATCGAAAGAAATTAATTAGTAGCAGTAAGATGCTTGTCAATACAAGAAAAATATAATCGATACTTGGTGTAATTTTACTTCCAGGATATTGACAACATGAAATCCATTGAACAAAACTTCAGATATCAGGAGTAACAGAGCAATATTTACATATGAACAAAGCTTTAATCTATTTCTCCCTCCACTAAAATAATATTCTCATGGTTTTCAGTACCTTCAAGTTAATCATTTTCAAAGATATTGCTTCATTTAAATCTGAAATTCCACTGAGAGATAAGAGACTAGAGCATTTTTGGAATTGATGGCCTTACCCATGCTTGAACATATTCCTTCTCATTTGAGTCCAGAATTTCCAATAATCCACTGTGGTTTAATAATGTATCCTTATTGAGAGAATTAGACTCAGTGTCACTTTGTGTCCTTGACTACAGTTATGATCAGAACACACAGATTTCATTAATAGAGTTTATCAGTTTTATAAATGTTATAGATACTATAACTATATTGTACTATAATTCCAGTTAAATGAGTAGATTTTAGCTGTTATTGTCACAAAAAATGATTAACTATTTGGAGTAATAGATATAGTAGCTTTTCCATAGTATCATTTTATTTATTTTATCCTTTAACATCATGTTGTATACCTTGTTTAGGAAATAGGATAGTAGTAAAATCTATGAGCCATAGCAGGAGGAATCCCTTGTTTACAATGACAGACACTATTTTGCCCAAATTTTTGCATGGGAAATTCTTCAAAGAACACCACAATTGATGCAGCCTCTTTTCCCTTGGGAAAACAGCTACAAAGACAGGCGATTGGGGAGAGCAGTCACTTTGAGTATTTCTCATCCCCTCAGCCCTCCTCAAGTTCACCCATCACCTTGTCCTGCCGCTTGGAAAAAGGTTAGGAAGAGCAAAGGGTTTTAATAAAGAAATTCATGCTGATCAGCCAGCCTGGGAACAAACTGCCTCACGACGGAGATCTCAACACTGTTAATTAGTGGGGTGCTTCAGGAACCTGCAGTGAGCTGAGAAGTGTGTTCTAGAACTTTCTCTGTTGTTGGTTGTGTTATCCTAAGTGAAACGATTCCTGTGTTTTTAATTACTCCGATGAAGAAAGCATCTCTTCGACACCTCCCATGCCTTGTTCCAAGCAAGATTCTTAGGGCTGTCTCAGAGACCAAATATGGCATAGGGATTTGCATCATTATTATGGAATGTTTAAAATGGTCCCGGAATGGACTGCAGAAAGATGCCTCTTTGTTGGTGGCCTCTTCTTAAGAAAGCTACAGGAGTTTTTTCCAGTCATATAACCTGATATTTTCCATCACTGATACCCTAGTGGACTGTCTAGCTTAGATGGTCTCAGAGTAGCTACGACTTCTTTCAATGAAGTGTTTCAAATGAAGCTTTCCCTGTCTTTAGCTCTTCAGCTGGATGAGAAATGTGATCCTTCTTGCCTCAATGCTTCTTCTGTATATAAGGGAGGACTCTGCATCTCTGCATTCACTGAAAAGGTTAAGCAAGATTGTTGGCATCAGAAGAAGAACCTGGAAATTGAAGAGTCACCAAATGCTATGGCAGCGTGAGGGGTAGAACGAGACCCTGAGAACTACCGCATGAGGAGAGACATTAAGATTTATTATTGCCATGCCTTTCATCTACCTGAGTTTCATCCTGTTAATAAGGTTGTAGGTGCCTGAATGACATTCAAATGATGTGCTTCTTAGTGGAGGCTAAAGCAGATCTAGATTGGGGGAGATGATACAGTTACCTTTTCTCTTTTAGGTTCCATTCGTGGAGCATTAGCGTTTTAGGAGAACTGAGATGCACTCTGGATCTAATTAAAATGCATCCAAAGAATTGTGCTCTGAGGCAGTTGGTCCCCAGATGTAATTAGACTGAGTTAGACTTGAATTTTGCTTCTCATACTTATCAGCTTCTTTTCATTGGGTTTAAATGTCTAATGTATACAACAAGAGACTAGTAACACCTATATTGTGTGACCGATGTAATAATTACACCTCTAAAAACACTTTGTAAAGTATCAAGCTTTATGTGGAAGAGTATTATCATAAACAACAGCCATGTAAACTGTATCATATCGCAGAATTTTGGTGTAGTTGTTTCCCTATTTTACTGTGATTTATATTTTAATATTTGGATTGCTTTCAGATTTAACAAAAAAATACCACTCAATTTTCTTTGATATTCAAGACTTATATCAGTCGTTTATTCCAGTATATTCTCCCTCCCCCTCACCTGATCCTTCCTGTTCCCAAGACTGGAAATTAAGGGGTGGGGATTTGGGGCAAGGTAGAAACTGAGTGCAATGGAAACTCCATGGTATCTACAAGAGAAACCCTATCCAAGACTCCTGTTAATGGGGTACATGGGATCCTGAACCGGCCAACATCCGTTAACTAGGCAAGGCCTCAAGTAAAGGAATTAGGGCACCATCCTAACCATAAAACTTGCCACCTACAGTTTGGCCTGCCTGCAGTGTTCTGGGACGGGAGCCTAGCAGAGCCATCATCAAAGAGACCAGAGAGACTTCACCGAATAACTGATGGGAGCAGACACAGAGTCCCACACCCAAATATTAGGCAGAGCTCAGGGAGGACTGCGGGGGTGGTGCGGAGAAACCAGAGAGGTTAGGGACACCATGAGAACACAGTCCACAGAATCTCAGGGACAGGGACTCACAGGGGGCTTGCAGAGATCAGGGAGCCTGTTAGGGTCTGACTTAGATCCTCTGCATATATGTTATTGTTGTATAGCTTGGTGTTCTTGTGGGATTTCTAACAGTGGGAGCGGGGGCTGTCTGTTACTCGTTTACCTTCTTGTGATATTATTTTCCTCCTACTGGGTTGTCTTGTCCAACATTGATGGTATGATGTGCCTGGTCTTACTGTAGCTTGCTATGCCATATATGGTAGATCTCCCTGGGAGGCTTGATCTTTTCTGAGGGTAGGAGGAGGTGGTCGATCTTCGGGAGACAGTTGGGGAGAGATACTGAGAGGATGGGAGGGAGAGGAAACTGCGGTCGGGTTGCAATATATGCAAGAAGAATATATATGAAAATTTATAGTTCGTTCTTGGATATCAAACTGAGTATCGGCCTGCCCCCTTGTGGTTCCTCAAAGAACTGTTATCTGCTAAAAGAAGTTCTGGAAAGGTAGGACATTTCAGTACTCAGATTAGCAGTATTTATTGAGACAATAGAATTATTTACTTTTGTTGAAATTTGAGCACCTATGCTCATAAAGTCAACTAAAGACTCAAGATGGTTACTATTTTAATCATCTTAAGTTTATAGATCTATAGCTAATGAAAATGTATGTTCTCACACACAAGCACAAGGGCTTAAAGGGAAAAGGGATGTCTTTTAAATCACTTCCAGTCAATCCATCTGCATCCTTTGTCAACTCCAGTCTTCCTAACCCACCTCTGTCTAGACCAGTGATTCTCAATCTGTGGGTCGTGACCCCTTTACAGGGGTCACCTAAGACGATAGGAAAACATGCATATTTATATTATGATTCATAATAGCAGCAAAATCACAGTTATAAAGTAGCAACGAAAATAATTTTATGGCTGGGGATCACCACAACATGAGGAACTGTATTAAAGGGTTGTAGCATTAGGAAGGTTGAGAACTACTGTTCTAGATTAGCCTTCTTCTTTTACGTGCCTCTTTTCTCTTAGAAGTGATCTGCAAAAATGATTCTCATGAGAATACTTGCTACTAATAAACCTTACACTGGCTCCTTATGATACATGCAACTCTTGACCATCAAAATCTTTTTAAACTCCTAGATTTATAATATGTCAGTTCCCTTGTTCTCCAAATATTTTTTTTGTTTTTTTACTCTTTCATATTTCCTGTTAGAACACATTTTCTCAAATAATACTGATCCAGCCCAGACTTTTATTTTTGAATTTTCATTAATAATTCACTCTCTAATTTTCATATGTCAGAGGATTACTTGCAATCACTGGCTTAATTCGTAGTTAAGGATTACTTATTTCTGAAGCATGTCTTCTTTTCCTGTCAACTAGACTTTTATTCTAAGTGATCCATTTTGATGAAAGTGCTTCTCTTCAATTTCCTCAGGCTGCTCTCTGACCGAAGTTGCCATTTTCCCTTTGAAATGCTCGCTTGCTTTCTTTCTTTCTTTCTTTCTTTCTTTCTTTCTTTCTTTCTTTCTT